CATGGCCTTGAATGTGTTTCTTTGAGAGAAAGAAGAGGTGCTTTGATTAGGAATTCTCTGTACTTTTAGTTTTGGGTTGAGTAGAAAGGAAAACCATTGGCCCCAGCTCTTGGGCGTTCCAGGTAGCCTGCAGGGTGCCCAGCGGGCTTTTCAGTTCTCAGCTGGTGTGGGTTGGTGCAGCCGGATGACAGAGGAATATTCCACGGGCCAGCGAGAAGCAACTGTCGCGTGGACGTTGTTTCTGTCCCTGCAGCGCTGGGTCTGTGAGGCTGCAGGCTACCCTTTGCTGGTTTGCAGGGCCGTAATTCCGGCCTGGAGCCTGACAAACGACCCCGGACCTCTGAGATGGAAAATGAGGTCCACATCCCATGTTCCCATCAGGATTCACTCTCAAAGGTCAGTTTCCACACTGTGGCTTAATAGAGTTGGTTTTATACCCCTAAGGGATACAGACTTCCAAATTGTTGCAGTCTCACTAACTGTAATGTATACAGCGAGTGTTTGAAGGGAAATTGCCCCTCCTCCAAGGCAGTGGTTCTCAGCCAGGGAGACTTTTCCCCCCTAGGGGACATGGGGATATTTGCAATGTCTAGCAGCCTGGTGATTGTCACATCTAGGTGTGGGGGTGGGTAGCTAGTGCTGAATAAGATTATGTTTGCACTGGACAGCCCCACAAGGAGCAGTCCGGCCACCAATGGCCCTGGTGCTGAGGGGGACAGACGCCACTCACGGAGAAGCCACCACAGAGGCCCGCATCCAACAGGCTTCCCAGGGCAGGTGTGGGCCGCGAAAACTGTTCCGTAATGAAAGCCCCTCTCAGAACAAAAATCCCTAAGCCGAGAGCAGCTGGAGCCATCCACATCCATGGCCCTGTGCCCTGCTGCCTCCTGGATGCTGCTGGGAGGCGAAGACGTCCGGCCCCAGCAGGACTGGGCCGCGAGGACCCTGCCTGTAGCCCAGTGCTGGCCGCCAGCAGATCACGGGGCATGGAGGGAGAGACTGCCGATGCTGTCCCAGTGCAGCAGCACCTCAGGGTCAGGATGGATCATCTTTCTGAACTTCGCACCTCAGACATTTAAAACAGAGATTTTGATTTTGACAAATGTGGAAAATAGATTTCAGCCCAAAAAGCAAGACCTGAGAACATGGTGTGTTAAAAATCTCTTTCATTTCATGCCACTTTGCAGCCCTGGGGCCCTTGGGACTGGTACTTAGAAGGGAGTAAAGATGACAGCAGCCCCCATTTCACTGATGGTGGCGCAGAGGACGTTGTGAGGTGGCCGTAGGGTCAGGTGGCCATAGGGTCAGGGCTGGGCAAGCTATACTCAGATGCTGTACACCCAGAACATTGTGGGAGGTAAATAAACAGCACACAGCGTTCTTGGGGGAAAAAGATGAGCCCATTTCCCAGGCTGCTGCCAACATCCTTTCTCCTGTCAGTGTGGGGGTGACCCTGCCCAATTAAAGGGCTTCTTTGGGCCCTTCTTTCCCCTGGCAGCAGCAGGGAAGTGGGTGGAGAAGGAGAGGAGCACGCTTCCCCCACCTCTGGAGACCTGTGAGTGCAGCCTGCAAGCTCTGGCTCCAGGAGAAAGTGTGGTCAAGTGCAGCATCCCATGGCACCTTCTCTGTATTCACACAATTATGTGACCACATCATGCACTGAGAATGTGGACACTGCACCTCTGACCATGCCACACACTGAGAATTCACACATAATTGTGTGAATGCAGCGAAGGCGCCACAGCAGATGCTGCACTTGACCATTAATTCTGACCATGTCACACACTGAGAACGTGGACACTGCACTTCTCTGACCGTGTCACACTCCGAGAATGTGGACACTGCACCTCTGACTACATCACACACCAAGAACGTGGACACTGCACCGCTGACCACGTCACACACCGAGAACATGGACACTGCACCTCTCTGACCATGCCATGCACCGAGAACGTGGACACTGCACCTCTGACCACATCATGCACTGAGAACGTGGACACCGCACCTCTGACCACATCATGCACCAAGAACGTGGACACTGCACCTCTGACCACATCATGCACTGAGAATGTGGACACTGCACCCCTGACCACGTCACGCTTTGAGAATGTGGACACAGCACCTCTGACCACGTCATGCTCTGAGAACGTGGACATTGCACTTCTGGCCATGTCATGCTGGCCAGAATTTGGCTGCAGGACAGACTTCACTAGAAAGGAAACTGGGCAGTGTGCTCAGCTACAAGTGTTTTAGAAGAGAGAATCATATTCTCTCTCTAATCTCGAGTAGACTAGCAGTCCCTACCACACTGCACTTAGATAATTTACAGCTTTTTTGCCAGTCAAAACATGTCATGTACAAATGCGAGTATTTCTATAGGATGACCATCTAGAAGTAGTCAGAAGGAATGTGCATTTAAATTTTTTATAAGCACTTCTCAATTGCCTTCCATAAAAGCTTCATTAATTTACATTCTCACCATTGATGAATAAGTGCCCTGTGTCCTTCAACAGTGGGGTATTATTCACATTTTATCTTGCTTTCCAGTTTGCTGGATGAAAACAGAATGGATGGATGAATGGCTGGGTGGATGGATAGATGGATGGATGGATGGATGGATCAGTAGGTAGGTAGCTTGATTCTCATTGTAATTTGCATTTCTAATCAAAAGCACGAAACTCGTAATGATTGATGTTCATGTTTCTTCTGTGAATTGCTGTTTGCATCTTTTGCCTTTTGTTGTCGTTTTGCCGCTTGTTGATCTGCAGCAGCAGTTTATATATACACGTCTAAAAAATTCTCTGTCATGTACTGTGTTCCTCCTTTCTTCCAAAATGGCTAGTCATTGGTATGTGTCTTTATCAGAATTACATATTTTTTATCTTACTGTATCAGTCGGCCTTAAGACTTACTAGGTTTTGTTGACTTGCTTAATTAAGGCCTTTCACATGCCAAAATAAATGAAATTTTTTTGTGCTTTTACATTTAGGTTTTCAGTCCCTCTCGTGTGTGTGTGTGTGATCTCAGATAGCAATATCAAATGGTTGCTTAGAGTTTCCACCATCACTCACTGAATTGCTAATTCCTTCTTTGCAGAGTCCTCGTTAGAGTTTCGTACGTGGGTCTATCTCTGGGCTCGCTCCTTTCTGTTGATTTGTTTGTCCGCCTCAGTAATACCATCCTGTAATTACCATGGATTTATAGTATCTTTAGTATCTGGCAGTGTGAGTTCCTATTCATTATTCTTTATTATTTTTTTTAACTCTTGTGCTTTTTTTTTCTGTACTAACTTTATAATCATCTTGTCAGATTCCATTAATGGAAAAACCCAGAAGGTATTTTGATTAGGCTCACACTGACTTTTGGGATTCATTAGGCAAGACTTGACATCTCTAGAATTCTTCAGTGGGTTTATTTACAGAGAGAATTTCCAGGTGTTCTGTTACGTAGCGCAGTGATTATCAACAGTCCACCAAACACGGACAGTTCAACCGCATAAGAACGGCAGAGCACAGGTGGGTGGGGTCCCGCCCATGACGGCCGTGTCTCCACACACCCTGCACACACCTGCGCTGTTGGCTTACTGTGTCATCACGGCTGAGATGTAGCTTACCTCTGCTTCTTTGCTGTGCACGGCCAGAGCTTCTGCGGGCTGCCTGCATGCCAGATTTCCCTAGGCTTTGCTTGGTCTTCTGGCCCTGTGTCCTTTTTCCTGTTGAGTTATAAACAACCCTGTAGGCAGTACCAGCGGCAGTGTGTGTGGCTCAGCTGCTAAGAAACAAACTCACTTTTACTGTGAGTTTGATTTCTGTCAATTTCTGGGAATTTGATTTCTGCCACAGCTTCACCACTTACACTATTGATGTCCAAGGAAAGTTAGATAATGAAGGTGTTCTGTGGAGAAGATTTCCTTAAAAATGTGAGCTTTGAGTGCGGATTGTGTTTTTCAAGTGAGATGAGAACACTCTTCTCTGCATTTACCAGAATCCTGGAATGTTCAGGTGCTGAACAGAACAGTGTGTTCGGAAAAGTATTCCACCCAGCACATTAGTGTTAGTAGGTTACTGTTCTGTGATTGAAGTGCGTTCACACAGCCAAACCCACTTGTGCCCCTTAAGTACTTTTTCGAAAGTCATCTCCATGACAGAGTGCTTATGGGCGTCTCTGAAATTAAAGGGACAGTGGCATGCAAGTTGGAGGAGCTGGCCAACTCTCCATTGCTCCCCTCCCTTGTAAATGAGGTGCGTGTTATGTTGCGTAAGCGCAGAGACGTGACAGTAGAAGGATGAATGGAGATGCGGTGTGAATAGCTGTGGGATACGTGGAGGGAAGTCCTGCGGTGGCTAAGGAGTCAGCCAGTGGCTGAACCAGGCAGCAGCTGCAGAGGAGCCTGGAGCCACGGATGACTTTGGCAGCCACGTGGTGTGGGCGCTGCTGGAGTAAAGCAGCATCTGAGGAGATGCGGAGAGTTCAGTTTGCTGTTTCTGTTTTTGTTGTTGTTTTTGTTTTGAGACTGAGTCTTGCTCTGTCGCCCCGCCTGGAGTGCAGTGGCATGAACTTGGCTCACTGCAAGCTCCGCCTCCTGGGTTCAAGCGCTTCTCCTGCCTCAGCCTCCCAAGTGGCTGGTTTTACAGGCACCATTCACTACGTTCAGCTAGTTTTGTGTTTTTAGTAGAGCCAGGGTTTCACCATGTTGGCCAGGCTGGTCTCGAACTCCTAACCTCAGGCAATCCCCCCACCTCAGCCACCCAGAGTCTGTACAAGAGTGTCAGAATGAAATATTCTGCAGTCTCAAGGGGGTCGTGAGTTCTGACTGGTTGCAGTATAGGTTGCATGAGCCACCGTGCCTGGCCAGTTTGCTGTTTTTTATAGTCTTGTGTAGAGGATAACTCAGCGTCTCTCCAGCAGCCGGGCTCAGTGTGTGTGTAACGCGCAGTACTCGTCAGCAGCCCGCATTCCTGGGATGCACATGTAACACGCGCACTTTGTGTGTTTTCCAGAACTACACGCAGTATATCCCTCTGTCCATATATGACCTGCAGACATGGATGGGCAGCCCGTCAATCTTCGTGTACGACTGCTCCAACGCCGGCTTGATCGTCAAATCCTTCAAGCAGTTCGCACTACAGCGGGAGCAGGAGCTGGAGGTGAGCACTCTGGTGCCGGCAGAGCGGGGCTGGGTTGGTTTTGTTTTCTCTGGGAGTGGGGAGGTGGGGAGGTGTTGCACATTCTCTGAACGGAGCAGGGCTCAGAATGCTGAGGGCAAGATGGCATATTCGATGGTATAGAGCTAGGGAGGCACTGAGCACACTTTTATTTTTGAAACATAATCTTGGCCGGGCGCGGTGGCTCACGCCTGTAATCTCAGTACTGTGGGAGGCCGAGCCAGGCAGATCACAAGGTCAAGAGATTGAGACCATCCCGGCCAACATGGTGAAGCCCCGACTCTACTAAAAATATAAAAATTAACCCGGCGTCGTGGCGCACACCTGTAGTGGCAGCTACTAGGAAGGCTGAGGCAGAAGAATCACTTGAACCCGGGAGGCAGAGGTTGCGGTAAGATGAGATTCTGCTACTGCACTCCAGCCTGGAGACAGAGTGAGACTCTGTCTCAAAAAAAAAAAAAACACCATCATCTTGTTCTGTTGCCCAGGCTGGAGTGCTGTGGTGCCATCTCAGGTCACTGCAACGTCTGTCACCTGGGCTCAAGCGATCTCCCCTTCTCAGCCTCCCGAGTAGCTGAGACTACAGGTGCACGCCATGCCAACCACGCGCAGCTAATTTTTGTAGTTTTTGTAGCGGTGGGGTTTCGCCATGTTTCTCAGGCTGGCCTCAAACTCCTGGGCTCACGCAGTGCATGCACCTCAGCTACAAAGTTCTGGGATTACAGGCTTGAGCCACTGCGCCTGGCCCGGTTCACATTTACGGGCTTATTTTTACATCTTGTTTTACTCCATGTCATTTTTAATCCAAATATTAGTTGATAGCATTAATAGGGTCGATTTGTGCCTCAACAGTCACTGCCTCCAAGATAAATGTGAAAATAAAGCAGACACATTTGTTTTAGGAGAAATGGACCCACAGTCTTCAGCTCCACCACCACCTTGGTTACTGCCCCAGTTTCTTTTTCTATTGTGTGTTTAAAAAATCCCCAGCAACCACTAAGCTAAAATGATTGAAAGCAGCTGCCGATGGTCGTTGCCCACTTAAGGAAGCGGAGAGCCTGTGCACCGCCCTGATAATCAAGAGACATTCTGCTTGGTTGTTTTAATTAATATTTGATGTTTGAATTAAACAGTGGATTCTGAGGACAAATTAAAGAGGCAGTTTCAATTAAGAGGCCTCCATCTTGTGGCCTGCGCAAGAGTGTCGAAATGAAATATTCTGCAGCCTCAAGGGGGTTATGAGTTCTGACTGGTTGCGGTGTAGGAAATTCTCCATTTCGGAACAGAAATGGTCTTGAGTATGTTTCCTTGAGCCTTTTTGGGTATATTCAATTTTGATGTATTGTTATGCTTTTCACATTTCATCAGAAAAATGCTGAAACAGTCAGCAACAAAATTTGAACTTCTGTTAGGTAGACTTTAACATTAGCATGTCTACAGTTTAATATTTCATATTAAGTCTTTATGTGGAACACTGCAAAAGAGTGACTGATTAATGTGCTTGATCCGTGAAAATGGATCCGCATGCAACAAGTGTGTTTGTTTTGTGTTGCATAATAAGAGAAGGGGAAGAAAGATCGAGGTTTGTATCATCAGATGTTTCCCTTGCTTTTAGGCATTTCATCTTGGCTTACCCATGGGATAGGTTATCTAATGAGCATTAAAAAACTGAAAGCATTGAGAGGTAATTTACTTTTCCTCGCATCAAGTAATAAATATTGCAGAAAAAGGCAGGTTTTTACATTTATAATATGTAAATAAAAATGCCAAAGAATCCTGCCTGAGTTCTGCACCAGATTTATGGGCTGTAGAGTGGTTAAGAGAAAGACCAATACATCAGCCTTAGTTAATTAAAACATATTAAATATGGACCCGCTCCCCTTTCCGCAGAAGGCCCGCGCCTCCAGCTCATGCATAATATCAGATGTTTGCTTTCCAGCACTTTCAGCATGTGCTCCGGCAGTGCTGTGTGCTCCTCGTATGTTGCCAGGGATTAATCAGCCTAAGACACTGTTCATTTCATTAAGTGTAACAGAAAAAAATCCCATGCATCTTTTTTAGGAAAGAAAAAAAATGTTTGATTGACTCATTCCTCATGAAAGAGATCAGATGAAAAAACATGTTAACTGAGATGGCGAATAGATGGCAAGGCAATGTGGCGCCATATGTCTTTAATTAGCTCTGACTTTCATCTTCCTTTTCTTTAATTACAATGTAAGTCAGTCTTGTGTGTTTTTATTACACTTACTGTTATTGGCTATTGTTCACTTGGTTTCTTACGTAAACAGTGGAAATTAAAATGATAAAATTAGCTCCTAGCTAATATCTTAATGTTCATTTTAGCCGTGTTACTATCTGCTACAGAAACAGGAGTGCTGTGTAGCCTTTCAGAGTTTTTCTTTTCAAATATTCATTGCCTCTTTACAGCTAGCCAAATTCTTTGTAAATTTACAATACGTTTTAATCATTTTTATTGTATGACACGAGCAGAAAGAAATTGACAGGCGAATGATCTGTTCCAGTGTTTAAAAAATAAAGAATCGATTAAATATAATGCAAGGAAATGGTTATTTGGACCAGAAAGCCTCCGAATAATAAACGCTAACACAAATATGAGTGACGTAAATTTTAAGAGGTGATGATCAGCTTTCATGCTCTTGGCGGCACAGTGCTTGTTTCCTTATTGTGTGCTTCTCTCTGAGGAGCGCCGTAGGTAGAGCAGAGGACGACTTCCTCCAAGCACAGAGGCAGTGCTGAACACACTTCCGACCATCAGAGCCAGAAAACGGCTTATGTGTCACTCAGTCGTCCTTATGTTTTTCATTGTGTCATATTTCTTTGTAATTTAAAAATTAAGAATAAAATTTGTCTCTCTGGTTTCAATCTTCTTTTATAAATAAGTATTTTTATTTTTGCCAAATTAGTATATGCCATGGTTTGAACAGTCAAATCGTACAGAAGGTTTATGATAAATAAAATAGTGGCCAGCCCCACACCTTCTCTGCTGAGAATCCCTGTTTCCGTTTCCAGTTCCTCTAGAGGGCGGCTCCTTCTCTGCAGAGGACGTGCTGATACGACGCTTCTTGATTCATCGATGTTGGCTTCTCTGTGGGCTTTCTCTTAGAACAGAGCTGCCGTTGGTAATAAGTCCGGTTTAAGGAAAGGAGGAATGATGTGGGAGTCTGTTAGCGAAGAAGCATATTACATGATAGTTTAAATTCGAGGTTGTGGTTTTCAGCTGTGAATTGTAAAAGAAAATTCTAGATCGAAGAGGCAGTGTCGCTCAGGACACCCTGCTTTCCCTCTTACTCGCTCTCTTAGGTTTCTCTGAACTTTGTTACCTTTGCAGTTTTAAGTACTATCCTTCCGCTTTCGTTTCTAGTGTCCTCAGTAGTAGCTAATCTCTTTCATTTTTAAGGCTGTCGCTTCCTTGTGCTTTCTTCTCCCTTATTTTTTTACAGCTTCTGTTGTCTGTACGTTTTGCGGTTGTCTTTCATTCTCTGACCACGATTACCTCCTCGGAGCTTGAGTGTAGATTGATTCTGTAGGATGACAAGCATTAAACCTGGTTACCTGATGATGGCCATGTAAATAGTCCTCGCTCAGTGGCTAGATAGAGCACTGTTATTTCCGTTTTTATAACTGTTTTTGCTTGTTGGCTGTTCCTGGACATTTCCTCTTTTCTTCTTGAATTATACATCGTTCCCACGTCCTCCACTGATGGATTCGCAAAGCGAGCTGCAGAGTGCAGAAGGCGGCTTCTCGCCTTGGGTCTTCCGAGCTCTCCCGCCTCCTCCCACCTTACTCAGCCGATGGCGCCTGTGGCCTGCTCCCCGGCATCAGCTGGCTCCCCTTTGTAACTCTCCGGGACCCATCCCTGCGTCTAGACCCCACTTCTTCTCCCCTCTCGATTTTCGCCTTTGTTCTACTAGAGCAAATCCTCAAGCAACACCCTAAGAAAGGATGTATGGCAGCCTGAGACCTTCAGCATTGGAAGGAATGAAAAATCTCACTACTGGGTTTTCAACAAATAGCAGCTTGTCTTTTTCACTAATAAGGTCTCTGAGGCAAATGATTGACTTTTCGGCAGTGCCTCCAGGGACCAGGCATCCTTAGCCGGTTGGCTTTATCCACATGGTTGCGATATGCCCACCCATCTGCAGACGTTTCATCTGCCTGGGTGTCAGGAGTAAGCGGGGAAGGGGCAGCGCTGGCCACGCTTGTCTCTTCCAAAAGGACACTAGAGCCCGCCCTCTGTATCTGCCGCCTCCACATCCTTGAAGTCAACTAACCGTGGCCCCAAGACATTCAGGAAAAAAAAAAACTGCACTGTACTGAACATGGACGCTTCTCATTGTGATTCCCTAAACAATACAGGATAACAACTATTTTCATAGCATTCGCTTTGTACTAGATGTTATAAGTCATCCAGAGATGATTTGAACTGCACCAAAGTCTGTGTGTAGGTTATACGCAAGCAGCACACCATTTGACATCTGTGCACTGGCAGATTTGTGTATCCGCGGGGGTCTGGGAAGCAGTGCCCTGTGGGTATCAAGGGACGACTGCAACAGGCAGACTTTGCTTTAGATCGTCTTGGCCATAGCCGGGTCCCGTGACCCCAGCTATAGTTGGGGGCGCCTAAAGGCAATGGACTTGGGGTGGCTATGAGGTTGTCCGATGGGGACCATCAGCCACATTGCCTGGGTGATGTCCTCATTCTCACCGCATCTATTATCGATAGTGTAGGCATGGACTTTTGGGCAAGTGTCACTCTTCACACGGTAGCACTGTTAGTACTTGGGTGGAGGAGTCGATGTGCTTGATAAGCCTGCCACCTGCATCCAGATAAACGCCACTAGAGGAATGTGTGTAGTCGTCATACACAGTATATGTATTGACTGAGTTGGAGAGACAGAACAAAAGAGAGAATTCAAGTGTTTTTGTAACAACTTTTATCTTGGATACTAAATCCTCAGCCT